AAGAATTGTGGGTAAAGAAAAAAAGGGGGGGTTAGATAGTAATTCTGTCCACATCCACTTCTACACAAATCCCTAACCACAAAAAAAAAGCAAATACAAACGACATAAGCAAACAACAGAGTAAACAAGTTATTGGACAGGGGAAGTTGAGAAAAATTACAATATATTTTTTTTCTTTTTGTGCGGGGGCAGTTTTGATAGACCCCTTGATACACCAATCTTTCCTGAAAACCCCTCCCCCTGGGACGTAATAAACGATCGGTCCCTTAGTGGCAGTCCCCACTGTTTGACTGTGACAAATTTCGTGACGCAGCTCCTTCAACCCTTTCACCGCCACAGTGAAAGATGGGAGTCCTCTCCTGTGGTTTACCATTTTAGAGGGTCTCAATGGGGTGGTGGCTTTTACGGTTATCGGCTAAAATTTGGGCTCTTTTACGGCTATCGGTTAATTATTTTTCAGTTACGGTTAACAACAAAGTTAATAATTAGTTTCTTTTTTTTCGAAGAGTTAAATATTAATCAACGTGTATTTTTTGTATCTTTAAAGCAAAATAAAGGTCTTAGAATCATCTCGGGATGAAATAAGCCATTCTTTTGAAAAATTTTAACATTTGATAGATCATCCTTTTTATAAAGTATTCCACTTCTAATATTATTTTACGCATAGAAATATCAATAGTCAAATTGAGAATAGTCTTTGTGAAAAAGCAAAAGCAGACACACGAAAGCCCAACTCATTTATATGGCCGTTTTCACTCTAGAGACGGATTATTCGTGTGAGAAGGGTTATCCGTTTGGCAATTCGAGTCAGATAGGTAATATGTCTTAATTTGCAAATGAAATGATTTTAATTTTGAATGACCAATCCGCCTGACTTCATCCGTCAATTTCGACGGACAGTTTGAAGATGGATTATCCGTTTCATGATAGCAGGTGTATAGCCGCCCCCTCCCCTCAGAAAAAATCGGAGAAGGGGTGTCTGTGGGGGAGGGGGACGACTGTACACCGGCTAGTCTCAGACGGACAATCCATTTCTAGCTCTAGTGTGTAAACGGCTTACAACAAAATGCCTGTGTCCAGATTGAGATGGGGTTTTCACCAGAAATCATAGAATTCTATACAGAAAACTAATGTAAAATTTTTACCATTTCTTTCCTGAATTTTCTTTCTGATGCCAAATTTGGACATCATTTATGACGTCACAATAGAAGTCACATGGGATGAGATAAACACCAATAAATAGGTAATTTTATCAACTTACTTCCTTCTTAAGTTTTGTTACATTCGATGCATTCTACTTCTCTCTATGGCCTAAAACTCTCAGTTTTGAGAGGTGTGGGAGCAAAAGCCCTAGCAACCGACCACCGTGTCACGTGTCCGAGCGAGTTTTTTTTTTCTCGGATAAACCACCGAATTACCCTAAACGAGATTGCGTGGGAAGACGACGTACAGGGACTAGGCATGGCAATGTCTACCGTAGCGTCAGAGAAAAACAGGGAGTTGTTGTTTACCGGCAACGTGTTTTACAAACAGTGGCATCTCTGCGTGTTGTTTCACTAGTACTTCAAGGGCACGGCCTCCTGAAAATCTCAAATATTAATCCCCAGCAAGAAGCCAGATTTTCGCTATGGGAAATAATAGTTCACCGAGAGAGCGACGGAAATGGAGCCTACGTCTAGGTCAACACCTAAAAGGTGCTTGGCCTAACGAGCGTTCGGAGTCCAAGTACCCGGGAAATAAAAAAACGCAACCATAAGTGAGTTTAGCATCTTCAGTTAAAATTAACAAATCTAGGGAACAATTTCTTTTACGGTTAACTCTTTTTTAACGGCTAACGGTTAAAATTTTTCAATTTTTACGGCTATCGACTCAATTTTTGGCCGTTTTACGCCTATCGGTTAACCCCATTGAGACCCTCATTTTAGGTAAATTTTGAATTTGGCCACTATTGGCAGAGACTATGAGGGATAAGATTTTAGGACTTTTAGCAGCCGGCCCCAGGACCCTGACCGCTCGCCTTTGCTATACTACATGTAGCCAACATGTAGCCCTATGTAGTCATGCACCGATAGTCAATTTCTATTTCTATATCTGTACTTGGCAAAGGTTGCCCATCAGCGCGGCCCATTCGTTTCGGGGCTCGTGGTCCGAGCGAAAAAGTTTCCCGGCCGTTCTCCTCAGCTCGGGTAAGTCACCCAACGGTGCATTGGCCGCTGAGAAGGCTTGGGAAAACGTCGCACAGAGACTAGGCATGCACAAAACCATACTGTGAAGAGCATTGAAAGATTTGAGAACGGTTAAATGTCGTAACTAAAAAAAAGGAAAGAAGGAAAAAGAAAGGGGAAAAAAATCAGATTATTTCAAACTGGGTTTATGGATCGGATCGCCCTCTCCTACACCTCTTTAATGATACCCGGTAAGTCTTTCTTGTTGTGTCCATTGTTAGCACTTTTCCTAATAGGACGTCATGCCGAGCATGTTTGTGTTTCCAATTATCAATTCAGGTTATTACAAATTGCGACAGTTTAATTTACCATGGGCAGTTATCACAAATTGTGACACTATTTTTATGACAAAGTGCCATGGATTTATTACAAATCTGAAATTGCGACAGTCATGACAATGTGCCATAAGTATTATAAATTGCAACAGTACCCCAGGCGGCAAACCGAGCCAGCCGACATACAATACAAATTTAAGTTTTCACTAGACTTATTCCTTTCTCTAAACGGCAAAATTAAACTTGCCAACAGAACGAAAAAACCTGCACTTAGTCTAACTATAATTGATATCCCAATATAATCTAAGATGGAATTGTCATAAGCTATAATTATTAAAGAATACCACAAGAATACTTTCAGCCTTGAATCGGCAGAAGAATAAGAATATTCAACCTATAAAAGTGTTCAAATGGCGCTTCTCTATCAGGGCCAAAAATAAAGGCTAGTCGTTCCAACCACCTGATTCAAATGTGCTTGCTGGCAATAGGGATGGGAGCTATAAAGCAAGGACATTTTTGCGCCACGCACATCCACCAAAGTGGACGTTTCAAATTTGCATTCTTAAGATGTGATTTAGAGTTTAATGTTCGGGCAAATCGTCTCTATACACTGTCGAAACACTTAGCAGTACAATTTTGGTAACGTTTCGGCTCATCCGATTAACATACGTCGCTCAAAAACGCTTTGCTCATTAAGCTCCCTTGTGAAATGTCTGTACTTTCAACAAAAATTAGAAATCAAGTTGAAATTAAAATAAATAGTAATTTTTTTGTGCTTGACATGTAAAATAAAACGTAAATAAGAACTTTGCACCATTTCATTCACAAGTTTTACTTTTATTGTTAAAAAAGTTGAAAAAACATGCATTCACTCAAAAAATGGCTTAGAAACCTGCTACTTATGACGTCATATCTCGTAGTAATAGTAGCTGACCATCACTAAACTTGTCTCAACATGCGCGTGAAGGTTAAACGAACAGCTACTAAAAACGCCTGGTGCTGATGTTAAATCGTCTAAGACAAGAAATCCAAAACATCTCAAAGCCCCCACCCCCTTGCACGACTCCGAGGGTGAAACAATTGAGATTCAGGCAAAACGTTTCCTTGGAACCTCTGAGAATCTTCATGCATTAGAAGGTTATTGCTGTTTATGTTACATGTTAAACTATAAAGTCAGCGTTTGTGGCATTAATTAAGAAGAATTCAGAAGTTCCAAGTAACGCTGTATTTTTCGAAGCCGAATTGAAAAATAAAATTTACATAACTGCATGCAAAAAATGTCTTCCATTATTGTAAAATAGCTTTCTTCCTTTACATAATGGCTCCCTTATTTGCTATATACTCAGCCACGTTCTTCAGGCACGAAATAGACTGCGAGCAGCCTCTTATCCTCTTCAGATTTAATGAGGGGAGTACACGTTTGCATGAGCATCACGCGGTTCGTGCCTCACCCGCCTCGCGCCTTCAGTCACGCGTGTGGTCATGTGTAAATCTGTTAGTTCTTCTCGTTAGAGAAATTTGTAAAAGGAGTTTCATGGTAAAGATGTAAGGCTTGCCACCCCTTTTAGCTTTTAACGGCGATAAACAACTAAGAAAAAAAAAACAGTGGAAAGAAATCCCACCCAGTTTTCTCCGAGAAACCGGTAAAGATATAAATTCCACTGCGTCTCTTACCAAGGGGTGTTCAAAAAAACATTACCACTTCAGTCTTCGGTACATATTAGGCCCACGTTCAAACTTACTGCGGTTTAGGAGTGGCCAGTTTACAAAGTTTAAACACGAGCGGTGCCACAACAAGTTTGTATAAACATGGGCCTTTCTTAAATATGATAAAGTCTATCGAAGTCTCAAGTTGTTCTTCGTTTGGTTTCTGGTGCTGCATAAAGGATAGTTGGGTAGCGCACATCTACACTCTTCCTCCAACATGATATATAGACACACCCAATAGCACTCTTTTCCTGGAAGCTGTTGGGACAAAAACAGAAAGTAATTACAGTAAGTAATTATCTGAACATTACGGTGTCGAACGAGAGAGCTCTTAATGTCTTTTAGTTAATTATTATTTATCAGCTACTTTATTTTCCTACCTACGTAAACTTGTGTAAATATAGTGTGAAATAAAGAATTAAACTGAAATGAATTATATTTTGGCTATTGCTGCGGAATATTTTCAGTCGTGCATTTAAAAAACCTTATCGATATCTTTAATTTCATCATTGAAACAATTGCGACCAATGCCTACTCCGAATTCAATTATTGTTTTAATTTTCAATTAAATTACATGCAAGCAGAAATCATTTAATGGAACTTTCAATCCCAAGCTGTAATAATGTCAGTAAGTAAAGTGGAGGAAGCTCACGACCGTGTCGAGTCAGTACCTCCAGTTCAACTGGACACATTATCAAAGATTAGTTTTCTCTTACTCCTCTCGTTGCAATGCTTAGGCCCTTGTGTTAAACCTATGGAGCTGGCTCGTTCCCAGCCGTCTCTAGAAGAAGCTATTGATGGGGAAGCTTTAAAATTAGTTTTCTGATACTTACCAGGTAAAGACGCCATGGCCATTAACTGAGCTTTGGGTTCCCGTCATCATCATCATCATCATCATCATCATCATCATCATCATCATCGTTGTCGTCTGCATCATCGTCGTCAGCATTGTTATCAACACCGTCCTTAACATTGCTATCATCTTCGTCGTCAACATCATTATTATCATCGTCTTCGGCATCCTCGTCGTCGTCATCATCACATCATCATCATCATCATCATCATCCATGCAACGTTAAAAAAAACAGGCGTCAGACCTTTTTACATCAAGGTGCCTCATCATGGCTGCCCAGCTTGTTAACGTTTACTGCTCCTAAATCTCTCAAGATGTCAAGACCAAACGTTTAACTGAACTTATCATCAAAGCTTAGTTTTTTTTTCTCACTCCTTCTTTGGGTCAATTCGTGTAACACATAATAACAAAATGATAACAAAACAGCAAAGACAAAAACGACAGGGCGTTTCCAGATATTTCGGATAGTTAGACCGTCCTTATATAGCATGAAAGCGGCACGGTTGAAAATGTGATACAATAATTTAAACTGGTTGAAAATAATATTGGTCAGTGGGAATAAAACTTAAAAACAATAACTTACGCACAAAAGAATAAAGACAAAAAAAGGCAAATATATAGAAAGAACGAAACAAAAAGAAACTTGGGAAAATATTCATAAATTAAATATAGCAGATAACTATGATACTAATGAGTATAATGATAGTAACAGGAAAGGAAAAACATTTAAAGTGACTTGATTTTAAAAATCAAAAATACTTCCAGCTGAATTTTTGCAACGTGACTGCTTTAATTACTGTCCTTGCAGTTACGGTTTCAAAAACCAATCAAGTAGTTTTCGTTGCTGTTAATTCCTTTTCTATTAACTATTATCACTATCGTGATCACGATTATCCTTATTATTAATTTATTATATTATTTATTTGACTTTATTTTCAATTTCATTATTATATATTATTTAATTTTACTAGATTTCTATTTATCTTTCGTTACTTTCAGTTATTTCATATTTTAAGTTCATTTTTGCTCCATTTTTCCTCATTTATTTACCTTTTTCGCATTTTTCTTTTCTTTTGTCTTTCAAATGAGTCTATCATGTGTTTTATTTGTAAGCTATTAATTTCAGTTTTATCCCTACTAGCCTTTTGTAAATCCTCTGAGAAGAGCGCCAAGACCATCCGAACTATCGGGAAAACCCAAATCCCTTTTAACTTTTCTGTTGTGATATTTTAGTCGCGTGAGCTAGTCAATTTGCTTTATTTCTACCCACCCTCCCATCCCTATCATTTAACACGTAACCATCCAACCCGAAACCAACCACGGTCCCAGGTCCCTCTCTTACTCATCCACTCATCCACCAAGAGGACTCTGGGAACGACTTTGCCCGAGGCTTCCCTAGGTTCTGCGATAAACCTATTTCTAGTTAAATTTTCAATTTACGTTTCACCTGCTAAAGAAGGTCATTGAATTGGCTTCATCATCAACACCACTGTTGTCCGTTGCCGCTGACATCATTACTTTGTCGTCGTCATCGTCACCAAGCAACATAACAACAGTTGTCATGCCAACCATAATTCCAGATCTACTCATGACAGAGCCTCACCAGACAATTCCTTCATTTCAGTCTCTAGAAAAAAGGAGACAAGGCTGTAAGTGAAGGTTCTGACCGAATAAAGGTGGAGTTACCCCTCTTTTTCTCTGCGGCTTTCGGCAGTTTTAATACATGCTTATTTAGTCCATTTAATTCGCTACAAAACTTTTTTTAACAATTTTCCGCCCACAGTTTCGATCCGATTCTAATTTCATTTCAGACAAGTGCTTCCACATTATTTGGTGAAAGACAGGCATTGAAAATTTTTCAATGTCAATGGCTAGGATTTCATGACAGCAGCTATCGTTGAGGAGGCGTCACATCTGAAGTCAGTTCGGATCTAAATAAAATTCATCTCAAGAACAAGAAATTTAGTTTTTTGTTCAAATCACTATTGAAGAGACTTCCAGATTTCTTCTATTCTAAGACATCAGCGACTTTCTGACATAAATGTAAGGTTTCTGAAGAACAAGGATTTAGAAAGCAAGTAATAGTTTGCTCTCGTTATTACAACTAAATACTGGTATTGATCCGTTTTCATCCTTGGATGTGTGTTCTTCCTTGTAGTTTTGGTCTAGACAGTATCTTAAGCTCTGTTTTGGAAGTGACTCTTCGATTTGTATAATTCCATTAAGACACGAGGGTCATCTTCGTTGAACTCAATTGGATGATTACTGGAATTAAAGTCATGGCCTGAAATAATCATCAAAGGCTTTTGGGTCATTTTAAAATATTTTGGTTGAATATTTCCTTCCTTTCTGGTACACACCTTGAATCTTGTAGGTAGGGTCACGTGATCAACAGCTACGTCACTGGGCCGGTTAGAGAGCGTTTTCACATGACGTCACAGCGGCCATATTGATGTGTCAAGACGGCAGCCATGTTGGTGCTCCAAAGCAGTCCTCTATGAGTTGACTTCTTTTCTTAAGCAAACGAATTCTTTTGATCCAGTCAATTTGCAGGGATGCTGGTCACGTGAGTGAAAACAATCTATATGTAACAACTGGGAGCTGAGACAACTTCTGAACTACCAGGACCTAAATAAAAGAGATTCTAAAAGCAGGTCATCAAAGCAAACGTTGCATCATGACAGAGGCCCTTCAGAGGCCCTGGCGTTTGAATCTCATGAAAATATTTCATTTCAATTTGCTTACTAACGAAGCAATGTTCAACGGTTGGAATCCCTCTGGAACAGAAGCCAGTTTATCTATAAAGTCACGACTTTGGTGCAGCAAGGGCACAATTGACCGTAAAGCTCTTTAATTTGTACATTCTGGTACTTACAGGTTATAGATCACTGCTGACGATAGTTGAGTTCAGAACTGCCATAACACGGCCGGACGTCTCTGTCGATCTCTGACCTAAATGAAATACTTGTTAAAAACAGAGGAAGTGATACCAAAACACTGGCTTGTTGAGAAGTTGGAGAACCGATTAAAGAGTCCACTGCTGACATCCAATTCATTTCTTTAAGCTATCATCAAACAGATTCAGTGGATCGTTTGAGATTCTACTTTGAAACTTGCTTGGTGGACTAAGAGCACAAGGCCTGTAACCAAGACAAAGATCGCGGTTTGAATCCAACTAACGCCTGAATGAATCAGTTTTAATACATGAGAATAGGTGCATGTATCAGCACATTTAGCGTAGTCTTCTCGTGGTTCGTTTCATTTTTCATTACCTCTTAAGCGCTAGCAAACGCTAACCATTCATTGAACCAATGTAAAAGGATTGAAAGCTATGATTCCTTACCTATCACTCAGCAGATAGTCACAATAAGTTTTTTATCTATTTTTTTTTTTTGCAGACCATTTTCGCGAATTCAGATACAGGCAAGACGTTACCTTGGAACCTCTCAAAATCTTCATGCATTAGATGGTTATTGCTGTTTATGTTACATGTTAAGCTATAAAGTCAGCGTTTGTGGCATTAATTAAGAAGAATTCAGAAGTTCCAAGTACTCTCTAATTTTCGCAGCCGAATTGATAAAACAAGTTACATAAATGAATGCAAGAAAGACTTCCATTATTGTAAAATAGCTTTCTTTCTTTACATAATGGCTCCCTTATTCGCTATATACTCGGCCACGTTCTTCAGGCACGAAATAGACTGTAAGCAGCCTCTTCCTCCTCAGATTTAATGAGGGGAGTACACGCGTGCGTGAGAGTCACGCAGTTCGCGCCTCACCGGTCCCGCGCCATCAGTCACGTGCGTGGTCATTTGTGAATCATGTGTAAAATTGTTTAGCTCTTCTCGTTAGAGCAATATGTTAAAGGAGTTTCATACTGGTAATAATGTAAGCACTGCCACTTCGTTTAGCTTTTAACGTCGATACACATCTAAGAAAAAATAACAGTGGAAAATAGGCCCACCCAGTTTTCTCCGAGAAACCAGTAAAGATATGAATTCCACAAGGTCTCTTACAGAAGGGTGTTCGAAAAATAATTATATTAGGCCCAAGTTCAGACTTAGTACGGATTAGGATGCCCAGTTTACAAAGTTTAAACACGAGTGGTGCAACAACAAGTCTGTATAAACATGGGCCTTTCTTAAATATTATAAAGTCTATCGAAGTCTCAAGTTGATCTTCGCTTAGTTTCTAATGCTGCACAAAGTATACTTGGCTGGCATACATCTACAGTCTTCCTCCAACATGATATATAGACACACCCAATAGCACTCTTTTCCTGGAAGCTGTTGGGACAAAAACAGAAAGTACAATTTATTATTTAATTTTTAAACAAGATCTCCCAGCTTTACTTTGCTATTGCTGCAGAATATTTTCGTCGTGCATTTAAAAAATCTTATTAATAGCTTTAATTTTATCATTGAAGCAATTGCGATCAATGCCTACTTCCAATTCAATTATTGTTATAATTTTTAATTAAATTACATGCAAGCAAAATTCATTTGATGAAATTTTGAATCCCAAGCTGTCCTAATGTCAGTAAGTAAAGCAGAGGAAGCTGACAACTGTGTCGAGACAATACATGCAGTTCAACAGAACGCATTTTCAAAGATTAGTTTTCGCTTAGTCCTCTCGGTGCAATGTTTAGGCCCTTGCATTAAACCTATGAAGCTGGCTCGTTCTTAGCCATCTCTTGAAGAAGCTATTGATGAAGAACCTTTGAATTAGTTGTCTGATTCTTACCAGGTAAACACGCAATGGCCAGTAACTGAGCTCTGGGTTTCCGTCACTATTATTATCATTATTATCGTCATCATCGTTGTCGTCTTCATCATCGTCAGCATCATCGTCATCAACATTGTTATCATTACCATCGTCAACATTGCTATCATTGTCGTCCTCAGCATCATCGTCGTAGTCATCATCACCACCATCATCATCATCCAAGCAACGTTAAAAAAAGAAACAGGCGCCAGACCTTTTCACATCACGGTGCCTCATCATGGCTGCACAGCTTGTTAACGTTTACTGCTCCTAAATCTCTCAAGATGTCAAGACCAAAAGTTTAACTGAACTTATCGTCAAAGCTTAGTCTTTTTTTTTCTCACTCCTTCGTTGGATCAATTCGTGTAACACATAAAACAAAAAATAATAACAAAACAGCAAAGACAAAAGCGACAGAGCGTTTCCAGATATTTCGGATGGTCAGACCGTCCTTATATAGCATGAAAGCGGCACAGTTAGAAATGTGATACAATACTTTAAACTAACTGCAAATCCAATTGCTCAGTAGGGATAAAACTTAAAAACAATAACTTACGCACAAAAGAATAGAGACTAAAAAGGCAAATAAATAGAAAGAGCGAAACAAAAAAAGAACCTGAAAAATATTTATAAATTGGATATAACAGATAACTATGATACTAATGAGTATAATGATAGTAATAGAAAAGGAACAACATTTAAAGTGACTTGATTTTAAAAACCAAAAATACTTCTAGCTGGATTTTTGCAACGTGACTGCTTTTTAAAGCAGTAAACGTAAGCTTTGTAAACTGTCCTTGCAGTTACGTTTACAAAAACTAATTAAGTATTTTTCGTTGCTTTTAATTCCTTTTCTATTAATTATTATCACTATCGTGATCACGATTATCGTTATTATTATCAATAATTTATTATATTATTTATTTGACTTTATTTTCAATTTCATTATTATGAGACATTTATTATGTATTATCTAATTTCACCAGTTTTCTTTTTATCTTTGGTTGCTTTTTCTTATTTCAAGTTCATTTTTGCTACATTTTTCCTCATTTATTTACTTTTTTCGCATTTTTCTTTTCTTTTGTGCTTCACAGGAGTCCTTTATGTGCTTCATTTGTAAGTTATTATTTATTTTCAGTTTTATCCCTACTGGTCTTTTGTAAATCCTACGAGAAGAACGCCAAGACCATCCAAACCATCGAAAAAACCAAAATCCCTTTCCACTTTGCTGTTGGGTTATTTTGGTCTTAAGCTACTCAATTTGCTTTATTTCTACCCACCCTCCCATCCAAATTTTTACAGGCAATCAACCAACCCCTTAACCAACCACGTTCCCAGGGCCCTCTCCTACTCATCCACCAAGAGGACTCTGGGAATGACGTTGCCCGAAGCTTTCCGAGGTTCTGCGATACACAGATTTCTAGTCAAAGTTTCAATTCACATTTCACCTGCTGAAGAAGGTCATCGAATTGGCTTCATCATCAACACCACTGTTGTCCCTTGCCGCTGACATCATCATTACTTTAATTCGTCGTCATCATCGTCACCAAGCAACATAACAACAGTTGTCATGTCAACCATAATTCCGGTTCTACTCGTGACAGAGCCTCACCAGACAATTGCTTCATTTCTCTAGAAAAAGGAGACAAGGCTGCAACTGAGGGTTCTGACCGAATAAAGATGGAGTTACCCCTCTTTTTCTCTCCGGCTTCAGCAGTTTTACCACATGCTTATTTAGTCCATTTAATTCGATACAAAACTTTTATTAACGCTTTTCAGCCCACAGTTTCGATGCGATTCTAATTTCATTCCAGACAAGTGCTCCACGTTATTTGGTGAAAGACGGGCATTGAATATTTTTCAATGTCAATGGGTAGGATTTCATGACAGCAGCTACACTTCAGGAGGAGTCACATCTGAAATCAGTTTGGATCTAGAAAAAAAATCTCAAGAACAAGAAATTTAGTTTTTCGTTCAAATCACTATTGAAGAGACTTCCAGATTGCTTCTACTCTCAGACATCAGCGAATTTCTGACCTAAAAGTAAGGTTTTGATTCTGAACAACAAGGATTTAGAAAGCAAGTAATAGTTTGCCCTTGTTATTACAATTAAATGCTGGTATTGATCCGTTTTAATCCTTGGATGTGTGTTCTTCCTTGTAGTTTTGGTCCAGACAGTATCTTAAGTTCTGTTTTGGAAGTGACTCTTCGATTTGTATAATTCCATTAAGACACGACGGTCATCTTCGTTGAGCTGAATTGGATGATTACTGGAATTAAAGTCATGGCTTGAAATAATCATCAAAGACTTTTGAGTTATTTTAGGATATTTTGGAAGAACATTTTCATCCTTTCTGGCGCATACCTGGAATCTTGTAGGCAGGGTCACGTGATCAACCACTACGTCACTGGGCCGGTTACAAGAGCGTTTTCACATGACGTCACTGGGGCAATGTTGCTGTTGCAAAGCAGTCCTCTGGGAGTTGACTTCTTTTCTTATGCAAACGAATTCTTTTGTTCCAGTCAATTTGCAGGGATGCTGGTCACGTGAGTGAAAATTCTCTATATGTAACGACTGGGAGCTGAGACAACCTCTGAAACTGCCCAGACCTAAAAAAAAGTTTCTAAAAGCAGATTATCAAGGTAAACGTTGCACCATGACAGTTCCTGCCGAGGCCCTGGCGTTTGAATCTCATAAAAATATTTCATTTCAATTTGCTTACTTACGAAGCAATGTTCACGGGTTGGAATCCCACTGGAACAGAAGCCAGATTATCTATAAAGTCACGACTTTGGTGCAGTGAGGGCACTATTGACCTTAAAGCTCTTTCCTTTCTACAGTCTAGTACTTACAGGTTATAGATCACTGCTGATGATAGTTGAGTTCAGAACTGCCATAACACGGCCGGACGTCTCTGTCGATCTCTGACCTAAATAAAATACTTGTTAAAAACAGAGGAAGTGATATCAAAACAACGGCTTGTTGAGCAGTTAGAGAACCAATTACAGAGTTCACTGCTGGCATCCAATTCATTTCTTGAAACTATCATCAAACAGATTCAGTGGATTGCTGAGATTCTACACCTTGAAAATTGCACTCTTTGGTGGACTAGGTGCTCCAGGCCACTAACCAAAACAAACATCGTGGGTTTGAATCCAACTAAAGCCTGAATGAATCAGTCTTAATACCTGAGAATAGGCGCATCTATCAGCACAATCAGCGTAGTGTTCTCATGGTTCGTTTCATTCTTCATTACCTCTTAGGCGCTGGCAAACGGTAACCATTCACTGAACCAATGTAAAAGGTTTGAAAGCTATGATTCGCTTTCTATCACTCAGCAGATAGTCGCAATAATTTTTTTTATTTGCTTTTTATTTTTTCGTTTTTGCAGAAAATTTTCGCGAATTCAGATACAGGCAAAATGCTTCCTGGAACCTCTGAGAATCTTGATGCATTAGAAGGTTATTGCTGCTTATGTTACACGTTAAGCTATAAAGTCAGCGTTTGTGGCATTAATTAAGAAGAATTCAGAGGTTCCAAGTACTCTCTAGTTTTCACAGCCGAATTGATAAAAACAATTTACATAAATGCATGCAAGAAAGACTTCCATTATTGTAAAATAGCTTTCTTCCTTTACATAATGGTTCCCTTATTTGCTATATACTCGGCCACGTTCTTCAGGCACGAAATAGACCGCGAGCAGCCTCTTATCCTCTTCAGATTTAATGAGGGGATTAAACGCGTGCGTGAGGGTCACGCGGTTCGTGCCTCACTCGTCCCGCACCTTCAGTCACGCGCGTGGTCGTTTAAGAATCGTGTGTAAAATCTTTTAGTTCTTCTCGTTGGAGCAATATGTTAAAGGAATTTCATACTGGTAAAGATGTAAGGACTGCCACCTCGTTTAGCTTTTAACGGCGATACAAAACTAAGAAAAAAAACAGCGGAAAATAGGCCCATCCACGTTTCTCCGGGAAACCGGTAAAGATATGAATTCCACTAGGTCTCTTATAGAAGGTGGTTCGAAAAAAAATTCCACTTCAGTCTTCGGTACATATGAGGCCCAAGTTCAAACTTACTGTGGTTAAGGAATGGCCAGTTTACAAAGTTTAAACACCAGCGTGCAACAACAAGGCTGTAAAAAAATGGGCCTTTCTTAAATATGATAAAGTCTATCGAAGTCTCAAGTTGTTCTTCGCTTGGTTTCTAGTGCTGCACAAAGGATACTTGGCTGGCATACATCTACAGTCTTCCTCCAACATGATATATAGACACACCCAATAGCACTCTTTTCCTGGAAGCTGTTGGGACAAAAACAGAAAGTACAATTTATTGTTTAATTTTTAAACGAGATCTCCCACCTTTATTTTGCTATTGCTGCAGAATATTTTCGACGTTCATTCAAAAAATCTTATTAGTAGCTTTAATTTTATCATTGAAGCAATTGCGATCAATGCCTACTCCCAATTCAATTATTATTATAATTTTTAATTAGGTCAGTGTGGCAGTTCCGCTGCCAGAGTAAGCAAAATTCATCTGATGGAATTTTGAATCCCAAGCTCTCCTAATGTCAGTAAGTAAAGCAGAGGAAGCTGACAACTGTGTCGCGTCAATACCTCCAGTTCAACTGGACACATTATCAAAGATTAGTTTTCTCTTACTCCTCTCTTTGCAATGCTTAGGCCCTCGTGTTAAACCTATGGAGCTGGCTCGTTCCCAGCCGTCTCTTGAGGAAGCTATTGATGGGGAAGCTTTTACATAAGTTTTCTGATACTTACCAGGTAAAGATGCCATGGCCATTAACTGAGCTTTGGGTTCCCGTCATTACCATCATCATCATCATCGTTGTCGTCTGCATCATCGTCGTCAGCATTGTTATCAACACCGTCACATTGCTAAATCGTCGTCAACATCATTATTATCATCGTCCTCGGCATCATCGTCGTCGTCATCAGCACCATCATAATCACCATCATCATCATCATCCATGCAACGTTAAAAAAAAACAGGCGTCAGACCTTTTCACATCACGGTGGTTCATCATGGCTGCCCAGCTTGTTAACGTTTACTGCTCCTAAATCTCTCAAGATGTCAAGACCAAACGTTTAACTGAACTTATCATCAAAGCTTAGTTTTTTTTCCCACTCCTTCTTTGGGTCAATTCGTGTAACACATAATA